AAAATCGGAAATTGTTATATTTCAATAAAACGATGCTTGCAGATTGTTTTTTATCGAATTCATGTGAGCCACAAATTCAGGAAGGATTGGGCAAGGGAACTTAGAGCGTGCGGCGCGGTCGGCCGGGATAAAGTATTTAATTTTTACATGTAGAGTTAGCGACAAAATCGGAAATTGTTATATTTCAATAAAACGATGCTTGCAGATTGTTTTTTTATCGAATTCATGTGAGCCACAAATTCTGGAAGGATCGGGCAAGGGAACTTGTAATAGGCGCGCAGGGCATACTATTTAAGTTTTCTGCTATTGTTTATATTTATTTTGCGAGTAATTAAATAAAAACAAACATATTTCGTGAGTAACAAATTAGCAACAAATTCTGACGTTATTTTTATGCATAATTTTGTTGTGATATATATGTTTTGTTCTGCTAACTTAATCTTCGTTTAGCAGAACATCATTTAAAAAGAAAACTAATAAAGCAACAATTTATTTTCTTTGGCAACTTTTTAACAACAAATGAGCAACAAATAATTTCACTACTTAGAATTGATTCTGCTTATTTTATTCTGCTAACTTATAAGATGTGAGGCTGGCCGAGCGACGCATCGTTCGTGACGTGTGTCACGTGACGGCTTACGGCAGCGGCGTAGCCGCCGCCACGCGTTGCCAGCCTATCTCCTCCACACGGTCGTATTTGTCGTAAATGCCGTCCACCCGGAAGCCCTGCAAGAAAGGAACAAAGAAGACGACTCAAAAACGAAGGGAGAACGAAAGAGAAAAAGAGGACGACCACGTAAACGGTCATTAGAAACGGAGGGAGAAGAACAAATGGTCACACTAAGAAAGATAATTAAAAATCAATCAACCATAACACAAAAATCCTATAACACCAGAAGCAGAAAGATAAAAGATACAAGTTTTACTCAATTTACTCACACGACAATAAACATGGAGAACTACACAGTACCTTCAATTGAAGAAGAATTTGATCAAACGGAAAATCAGATTGAAGGCGAATTACTACACTGCCTCTTTGCGAAACTGAATAGTGATCCGCAAACCTATGTAAAAGCCATGAAGACGAGCGAGAAAAATGAGTGGCTAAAGTTCAAGAAGAACTCGACTCAATGAACAAGAATGAGATGTGGACATTAGTTGACAGACCAATTCACGGAAAGGATGAATAAAGACCCAATATAATTGACTCTAAATGGGTATTTAAGAAGAAAAGTGACACTGAAAGAAATGAAAAATTCAAAGCACGACTTAATTGTGATAAGAGGTTTCAAAGACAATAATTCCTACGATCTAAAAGAAACATACGCTGCAGTATCAAGACTAACTTTCGTGAAAACGATTTTGGTCATGATAAATTATTATAATCTAGATGCATGTCAACTAGACGTAAAAACCATGGCCATAGAAATATAAGGAGACAGAGCACAAAGTTGCGGGGGGGAAACCACTGTGGGACGGTGCGACTCATGGATCTAAAAATCAATGGATGGAGCGTAGAGTGGATTTATTGGCAAGGAGGTTGCCAAATTTGCGGTAAGGGGAATGAGAGCGCTCTCCTCTTCTATCCGCTTATCGTCTCTTTCTACAAGAAGACCCCATCGGTTCGGTAACGAAATTAACCAAAGACGTCCGAACGATCCGAAGATACTCGAAAACGCTAAAAAGAGCATTTCGAGG